TATTCTTAGACTTGTGAGTCATCTTGTTAGCCCAGCCCGGCTTTTCCTTCACACAACCAATCCTAGTCAGTTCAATACCCCTCTCTGAGATGTCTCGGGGGCCCTCTGAAGCATCCCAAAGCCAGGTGAAGTCAAAAGAACTTTAATTCAAACTAAATAGGAAATTTGTTAAAAATATAAAATAATTTCACACAATTGTTATTAGAAGCATTCTGAGTAAACTTGCTTTCTTAACAGAAAGGAACCAAATCTAGTCCTGCACCAGCCTACTTTTAATAACAAAATCCATTCACCTAATTAAGTTTAATTAATCTCAGCCTGACCATGCATAGAACTCTTGTCTGGGGCTCCCTTTCTACAAACTTCCTACAACCTTCTGTATCTGTCCTAGTGTGTCCTTTATTTTTTCCCACCTAGAAACAGCCAGCTCTAAGATCAAACCATTTTCTTTTCCTTTAACAAAATGCAATTCCATTCCTCATACCTTTTTTTTAAACTCAAAACCTGTATCTTACTTTCCTCCTGTCTACCAAAATATGTCATTATTTTAAGAAGTAGTAATTATTTTATTATTTATTATTATTTTAGTAGTAGTAATTATTTAAATTACATATATAAATTGGAATCCTCAACTCTTAAAAAAATCTTAGTTTATAGCGAATGTTTCAGGATCTTATTTTGTTTGGAAATGACCTAGCTATTCAACTACTCAGTAAACTTCCATCATTTAATTTAGCACAATTCTATAATTTTAAAATACCAAATATCTAGAGAGATCATTTTTAAGTAGACAGTCCTAAAACATATTTATTTCTAAAGAGTTCATCTAAAAGCTCTTATCTCACTTGCATTTAATTCACTTATAAGAATTTCATCATATTGCTAATTTTTTTCTTTCTGCTGACAAACTCTGCAACAGAAACATGAACCTACTGACATTCAGAAAACCTAGGTACAGTAAAAGATATGTCTGTATTGATTATTCCAACAAGCTTAAGCTAGCTTTAATATCAGATATCAATTTAACATTGAATATTTCCCAGATCATATGAACCTGAAATTTGTTCTGTCTGGCTTCTCCTATACTTAGAAGTATTTAATTTGTAAGCACTTACTTTTAAGTCAATTAAATAGAGCTCATTTGCAAGTTAATTTTTTATATAAAGACAGAAATAGAGAGCTCACAGTTTTTCTGATTGAGTTAAAAAAAAATCTTTTTTTTCCCCTTGAGAGCTCAGGTAGATCATTTACATCTCAAAGGACAGGAAAAGAAATGCAAATTCCTCCTCTAACTGCTTTTACAAAACCCAACCATCCTGGCTATTTTCGGGGAATTTTTTTCCAGTTCCCAAATATCCACTTCAGTTTAAAGAAATAACAGTAATAGACAATTTTATATATATACAATCATTTATATATATTTTATCATTTATATATATAAATATATATATATAAAATATATAAAATCATTTGATCACATTCACATGCCTCACTTTCAGCAAGACCAGGAAGACATAACAGGATTTGGACTCAGGCACTGAGACAGGAAGGCAGACAGGAAGGCAGACAGGAACAGAAAGACAGACAGACACACACACACACACACACACACACACACACACACACACACACACACAGGCCTCGCCAAAATAAAAGCCAAAGTAATTGCAAAAGGCCCGCTTTGATATAATAGCAGAGCCATTAGGGGCCATTATTCTCCAGATTTCAGGGAGTACTGAGCCCACACAGTGTT